TAGAACAGCATCAGACCTTGATATAGATCAGCATCAGACCTTGTCGTAGAACAACACCAGGCCTTGCCATAGAACAGCATCAGGCCTTGCCATAGAATAGCATCAGACCTTGCCATAGAATAGCATCAGGCCTTGCCATATAACAGCACCAGGCCTTGCCATAGAATAGCATCAGGCCTTAGCCATAGCACATCACCAGGCCTTGCCATAGAACAGCACCAGGCCTTGCCATAGAATAGCATCAGGCCTTGATATAGAACAGCACCAGGCCTTGTTACAAGGTCTTGCCATAGGACAGCACTAGGCCTTGCTATTGGACAGCACCAGGCCTTGTCATAGAACAGCACCAGGCGCTGCCATAGGACAGCATCAGGCCTTGCCATAGGACAGCATCAGGCCTTGTCATAGAACAGCACCAGGCGCTGCCATAGGATAGCGCCAGGCCTTGCCATAGGACAGCATCAGGCCTTGGTACAGAACAGCACCAGGTCTTGCCATATGACAGCTCCAGGCCTTGTCATAGGAGAGTATCAGGCCTTGCCACAGAACATTATCAGGCCTGGCCACAGAACATTATCGGGCCTTGTCATAGGACAGCATCAGGCCTTGCAATAGGACAGCGCCATAGGACAGCCCCAGGTCTTGCCACCAGGCCTTGTCACAGAACAGCACCATAAGAAAGCTGCATGTCTTGCCATAGAACTGCACCATAGGACAGCACCAGGCCTTGAGACGACAACGTTTCGGTGCCTTTTCGTTTGATCCTGTTTTGAAATGCAGAACAGCAAAACGAAGCGGTCTGTTTTAGAATTTGTGACTTATACGTTTACGTGTCACGACGGACCCGACTAAAATATCATTATGCAAGTTTGCGTCATGCTGTTACGTCATGGAGAATGAAGGCACTTCCAACGCTGTTATAGTATGAGCTACAGTAGTATACTCAGACATGACTTGTATCTATGTTTCCAAGAGCGGACAGTTTCTGTCCCCGGCGTTACAGCTGCACTAAACTGCCATCAGATGAGGATGTCATGCACTTAATGGCACGATAAATGTTGCATTCAAATACACGCTACGATTGATAGAAAGATAAACTATGCAAAACAACCAAAAGTTCGATAACATCAACGTTACAGAAGCAAGGTTAATTAGTAACAACAGTTAGAACTTTTACAACAGCGAAACCAACCACACGTCACCAATCAGGACAAACTAAGATGGGGACAAATGTTAACACTGAAAATTGTATTACTGAATCACTGATTGACCATACTGTAGAGACCACTGGTAAAATTGGAGATAACCAACCGTGCTGGGCACACATAAAAATAGAGATAACCAGCTGTAAGTTGCCCACGTGTAAAACTGCACCAACTGTAATGACCACACGTACAACAGCAAATAACCAACTGTCATGACCACACGTACCAACTGTACCAACTGTAATGACCACACGTACAACAGCAGATAACCAACTGTAATGACCACACGTACAACAGCAGATAACCAACTGTAATGACCACACGTACAACAGCAGATAACCAACTGTAATGAACTGTAATGACCACACGTACAACAGCAGATAACCAACTGTAATGACCACACGTACAACAGCAGATAACCAACTGTAATGACCACACGTACAACAGCAGATAACCAACTGTAATGACCACACGTACAACAGCAGATAACCAACTGTAATGACCACACGTACAACAACAGATAACCAACTGTAATGACCACACGTACAACAGCAGATAACCAACTGTCATGATCACACATACAACAGCAGATAACCAACTGTAATGACCATAAGTACAACAGCAGATAACCAACTGTAATGACCACACGTACAACAACAGATAACCAACTGTAATGACCACACGTACAACAACAGATACAACAACAGATAACCAACTGTAATGACCACACGTACAACAACAGATAACCAACTGTAATGACCACACGTACAACAACAGATAACCAACTGTAATGACCACACGTACAACAGCAGATAACCAACTGTAATGACCACACGTACAACAGCAGATAACCAACTGTAATGACCACACGTACAACAACAGATAACCAACTGTAATGACCACACGTACAACAACAGATAACCAACTGTAATGACCACACGTACAACAACAGATAACCAACTGTAATGACCACACGTACAACAGCAGATAACCAACTGTAATGACCACACGTACAACAACAGATAACCAACTGTAATGACCACACGTACAACAGCAGATAACCAAATGTAATGACCACACGTACAACAGCAGATAACCAACTGTAATGACCACACGTACAACAGCAGATAACCAACTGTAATGACCACACGTACAACAGCAGATAACCAACTGTAATGACCACACGTACAACAGCAGATAACCAACTGTAATGACCACACGTACAACAACAGATAACCAACTGTAATGACCACACGTACAACAGCAGATAACCAACTGTAATGACCACACGTACAACAACAGATAACCAACTGTAATGACCACACGTACAACAGCAGATAACCAACTGTAATGACCACACATACAACAACAGATAACCAACTGTAATGACCACACGTACAACAGCAGATAACCAACTGTAATGACCATAAGTACAACAGCAGATAACCAACTGTAATGATCATTGTTATCACTGGAAATGACGAACGAACCTCAAACAAAGAAATATAACGCCAGCGACACAGTTTTGTTTATCCGCCATGCACATTCCTCTAAGACAAAAGGAAACATAGCCATGACAGTTATACGAATTGGTTTCTGAAAATCAGTGCTGACACCAGGCCGGTCTTGTGAGTAAATACGCCCATCCCTACACCCCCGCCAACATGTAACGATGGAAAAGCGCACATACTCTACAAAAAAAGTGACTATCAAATACGACGCTATTTGATATTTTGACATTTGCACTAAAATCACTCGTAACGTCTGAACTGTGCATACATCAATACACGATGACAGGCGTTGTCTGTAGCCACAGCTAGATGATGGAGCAGTTCCTGCAGCTGTAGGGAACGTCAGTTTTGTTTCCTTTACCCCGACATGAAGTTCTTACTTCCACTAACATAATGACTTAACACTTGCTACCGGGAGCCCACCTCGAGTGTTTACTGTACTTCTTCAGATTGCCCTCCAGCAAATACTTACACAGTCTCCTCACGTTGCCGAGTGGCTCCTGAAGCCCAGTCACAGAGGCTTAAGCCCTTTGCATGTCTTGAAAACAGACTTTCTAATGCCACATTCTCAGTGACTTGGTTTGAACATTTCTACACTGCAGGGCGAGGGATCCCCCTCCCACATATAACGGTTTAATTCAAGTTGACTGTGAGACATACCCGTGTCTAACTAGCTAACTAACTTGCGAAAAGGCGGCTTGGTGGCGTGTTCGGTTTACGTTGATAATGTGACATGTCGATACCTCTGATTACGTATCAAATATTTAAATACTCAAGAAGACCTAGGAACTAGATATACCGTCCTGCGGTTTCTGGAAATGTCATTCACTCTGTTGTGAGAAAGGCAACAATTGTTGGCAATGTTATTCACTCTGTTGTGAGAAAGGCAACAATTGTCGGCAATGTCATTCACACCGTTGTGAGAAAGGCAACAATTGTCGGCAATGTTATTCACTCTGTTGTGAGAAAGGCAACAATGTCGGCAATGTCATTCACTCCGTTGTGAGAAAGGCAACAATTGTCGGTCGACCACTTTCAGTAAATGGTATCAAGTAGCAGCGTGCCCCAGGTCCCCCCGTTCACTAACATGGTCCTGTCTAGCATATGTTATATTTGGGATTACACTTTCTTAGTAAAGTACAAATTCTAGTACTTTTTGACTTGAGCCCCATCCGGGGTTCGAACTCACACCCTCAGAGTCAGGCACATATAACATATGTTACATTTGACCACTTTCTAAATGGCATTGTCTATTTTATGTTCCTGTCGACTTTAAGTACAGCGTCCGTGTATTCACGCGGGGGAGTTTTACAGCTGGTCCCCTATCATTGCATTGCTGGACATCAGATATATCAATATTTACTTTCGCATAGTTTGAAATTTACATAATTCCATGGGATGCATTCTTATATTTTGGAAAATGCAGACAGTTCCCTTTGAAATATCAGACTGGTATTATAAAAGCACGAAATATACTTTTTAACAGAAAGGTTTAGTATGGATCAAACGTTGAATTAAATGAGACAATTTAGTTGCAGATCATAACCTTATATAGCCAAGTACTCCTGAACAGATGAACATTATGAACACAGCAATAGGAATGTTTGGTTTTTTTTATGAATAATCTTTCAAATAAGATATGGAGTTGTGGAACATGCTCCTAATTTCACATAGAAAGTCTGTATCATGTCCTGGTGAATGTAAAAATCTTGCCATTTCTGTACCCGTGATTCCACTGAGATACAACTAGCATCCGTTAATGTACCTATCTAGTAGACCAGCGCCGGGAGCCTGACATTGACACGTTCCTCACAATGCACTGCTTCAGTAAACGAGAAGCACCAGGAACTACCGTCCATTCATCAAGCATGAACAGTACATAGCAGAACATTACAGAATAATGCAGAACATTACAGAACTTATAAATGACCCGTTATCTACTTGACAGATTGAGTGACAAGGGGCATAGGGTACTACGAGAAATGATCACCGTCCTTATATGAAAAGACACTGTGGTGGGTAATTAACAAAGTGCAAGTGTCGCTCTGCAGCGTCCACGATCAATGCATTTAATCACATTTCGTAATTTTCATTAACCGAACAATCCAATAACATGTCCACCGCCATCCCTGGTCAATGCGGAGGGCAGCCTGCGCCAACTTTCGATCATGGTTGACGCACTAGCTACTTGGATAAAACGAACTCGCGAACATCTGGTCCGGCTGTCCGGCCCTCACACTATCATCCCTGGCGCGACAACACCGACAACACTGTGAGCACTTACCTGGGAGGTGATCATGTTGTAACAGGCACCTGTAATCAGAGGAACCAACAGGTACAACCGAGGAGGGTCAAGACACACCTGTTTTCATCGTCTGTTAGCTGGAGATGGTAAGAGCGAGTGCTGCAGATCTTACATGGCTAAGCGAACAAAATGCTAATGAATTCGTCAGCGCCCTCTGTGGGCTTCTGGTATCGATTTTGTGATCTTATCCCTTCTCTCCGTGTATCCACGACTACGACAGAGCGTCCGTCCTCTCGCTGCCTCTCAGATCCCAGATAATGACGTTTTCTGATAAATATGGACAAATTGAAACTGCAAAGGAACAGATTGGGAGAGAAATATTTCACGGAATGGCCAAGCAGAAAAGATGCTTTCATTTGACCAATCGCTGTGTATGTTAACCTTGTTAAAGGGACTCCACGTGTGTTGGCAGCCTGGGCGGGCTTCTGTGAAACTTCTCGACCCCCGTGTTGGCGAGGCAAGGAGCTGGTGATGCAGAAGAAAGAGGAAATGAGGCACAAGAACCAGTGTCGCTTCGCTAACGCTGTAGGTTGCCGGTCAAAGGATGAGGTTCCCAGCAGCGATACGCTGTCATGCCGCGTTTCAATAATTATGTTCACTGGGCACTGAATTAACAATCTCCTCTTGTATTATGATAATGCGCGGGTAACACTTGTTCTACGTCCCCACGGACCCATGGTTAGTGCAGGCTAAACACACTTACCTCTTGTTTTAAACATATTGGAGACGTGTTCGAAATTATTATTGATAGAGTGTTACACTAACACATATTAATTATGGTGATATATTCGAAATAATACACGATGACTGAAGGAATCCTGGAAAAATGTTAGAAAAAACCTCCTGAATGTGAGAGTTACCCTTGTACAGTGAGACTGAACGGAGTGCTGTTAGCTTGGGGACGGTTGTAGACATCAACATGGGGATACTTCTATGGTAATAAATCCCTTAGTGATCATCCTGGTAACAGTGTTCCAGGAGAGACACGTGTGACTATATTTGTGAGAACCGTTGTGTTATAAACTATTGAAAAAGAGGTGATGACATTTTGTCAAATTGAAATATAAAAGCCTCGTGCTCATTCCATTGACAGTCAATGGTTTTACACAGAACTGTATGTGAGTCTGTCCTAAGCCACAATCAGTTCTTGCACGATGTACCTGTGTCTCTCCTAACTTAGATAGTCTCCTACCTTAGATAGTCATACACACAGCCCGTGTCATCCCTGACCTGTGGTGTGTCAACGGAAGGCCAGTACATGTGTCTGACCGGAATAACCCATCTAAATGTCTGACCAAAGGCACAAAAATTGTGTCTGATACGTTTATGTCTGACCAGAATCTGTCCCCGGCAACTCATGTGGGACTGGATGCTATTCTACCCCAAACACGAGACTCATCCAGGACATAAACACAAAGGTCTTATATGACGTATTAACACACAGGTCGTATATGACGTATAAACACACAGGTCGTATATGACGTATAAACACACAGGTCGTATATGACGTATTAACACAAAGGTCGTATATGACGTATTAACACAAAGGTCGTATATGACGTATTAACACAAAGGTCGTATATGACGTATATGAATAAACACAAAGGTCTTATATGACGTATAAACACACAGGTCTTATATGACGTATATAACACACAGGTCGTATATGACGTATAAACACAAAGGTCGTATATGACGTATAAACACAAAGGTCGTATATGACGTATTAACACACAGGTCGTATATGACGTATAAATAAACACAAAGGTCGTACACAGGTCGTATATGACGTATAAACACACAGGTCGTATATGACGTATTAACACACAGGTCGTATATGACGTATAAACACAGGTCGTATATGACGTATAAACACACAGGTCGTATATGACGTATAAACACAAAGGTCGTATATGACGTATAAACACAAAGGTCTTATATGACGTATAAACACAAAGGTCGTATATGACGTATAAACACAAAGGTCGTATATGACGTATAAACACAAAGGTCGTTATATGACGTATAAACACAAATGTCGTATATGACGTATAAACACAAAGGTCTTATATGACGTACAAAACACAAAGGTCGTATATGACGTATAAACACAAAGGTCGTATATGACGTATAAACACAAAGGTCGTATATGACGTACAAACACAAAGGTCGTATATGACGTATAAACACAAAGGTCGTATATGACGTATAAACACAAAGGTCGTATATGACGTATAAACACAAAGGTATATGACGTATAAACACAAAGGACGTATATGACGTATAAACACAAAGGTCGTACATGTCGTATAAACACAAAAGTCGTATATGACGTATTAACACAAAGGTCGTATATGACGTATAAACATAAAGGTCGTATATGACGTATAAACACAAAACGCATAGGAAGCAAGCACAAACCTCCTATTCTGGGTAAAGTAAAGAGGACACGATGACATCTGCGCCATAAAACTCTGGACGATTCAGGCGACCTCAACACAACTATCAAAGGTTGAACTATGGCTCATGAATTATGGGTTTAAGCATCGATATTTAACTCTCTAATATGTTAGTACAGTAACTGGTTAGTGTTTATGGATGTATTCGACATACGTGTACGCCGTGCACACGGTAATGGGGTCGTTACGGATGGGTAGACGGTATACGGACGGGGATCCCAGACGCCATTCGCTTTCATGTTGAGAAGTGTTTTGTTCGCTATGCACTGAGTCAACAGTCCACACCTGTATTATGATACTGGGGAAACCATGTAGTCCCCATACACTGACCCAGGGTGAGTGAGGGTGTGTGCAGCTTTATCCCTTTCAGACTGACAATAGAACGTCACACCGGTAAATAACCGATAGCCAATCTTCTAGAGGCTTCCATGTGGCAAGACGCGATTCAGTGGTGGATATTACATGAATTGACAACAAAGTATCGGTGATGACACCAAGTGTTTGCCCTTTAACAGTCGACACTAACACAATTTGAATACATAATGTAGGTATTTGGGGTTGTGTTGCCTGATGCCGTACAGCAGTAGTGGAGCCCTGTGATAGCAGCTTCTAAAACAAACCACCAGTCGTACCAATCACCCCTGCACTCCATACATCCGTGGTCGATCCGTTATTGACAGTGTAATCTTGTTACAAAACCACGACTTACTGTTAACTGGTAAGTAAGGTGGATTTATGTCTATACTATGTGGAGGATCTAAGATGTTTTGCTAATGTATTCGCATGAAGACTAAACACTGATATCTGGTGTACATGTTGAAAGAACAATGGACAGTGATTAGAGGGTAGACGGTGTGTGACAACCACAAGTAGATTCGTCACGTCAGGAACGCGAGTGGGCGTTTCAGAATTAAAGTCTTGGCGATTGTAAGTTTAACACTTTCGCAGTGTCCAAAACGGTATTTGGATCATAATGTGCAGTCGAACATGGATATTTAATCCTGAGCAATGGGGTGATTCCTCATCAGTTTCTGGTCCTGGAATCTCAGTGTTTCTACATCCACAGCGAGAATACAGGTTGATCGAGTATTTGTCGACTGCGGTTTGAGAAGGCTTAGCATTACAAGCGTATAATGGGCATTTCGCTGCAGTTTTCAAAGGTGAATAATGGCAAATTTACATCCAATTGATAGTGCAAATTAGATTGTTCAAATATCACCCTGAAGTTTTTTGTGTTTCTTTTAGATTAGCTCTACCCAGTGAAAATGTGCTTTGTGAGGATTCAACAGGTTGAGACAAGAAAGCTACAAATCTGCATTTGGTGATAGTCTTTCAACAACACGGAATTCAATCGATCGAAATGAGATTTTCGTAGCAATTCAAGCACTGCAAAAGGATGTTTTGATGAGAATGATGTCGTAATCAAATTTACCCTTTGAATACATGTTGTTCGTCCAGCCTGAAGAAACTTGAGCGGAAATAAGTCTAAGGCAAGATTACCCAGGTTCACCATTCTCGTTCTGTGAGACAGGTACACAATGGACTTTCTAGCCATGTAATGTCATAGATTTCATTATTTGATTTGGAACTCACTTACTCAAATATGCCTTGGGTCCCGACTGGTATCATGAAAGGCCGCCTTAACTATATTGCGGGCATCTCCTGGCGGTACGGGTACTTTCCTCCACAAACTGTTCCGTGGGGACAACATCACTCCAAAGACCAAACCTAAATGTCCCATTAAGAGTATGTAATTGATTAACAAGAGGGAGTACTGAAGGAACCCGTGTCTCGATGGGGTTCACGACGGGAAGGAACGAGTCACAGATACTTATGTTCAGTTGGACGCAAACTGAGACCGATTTGACGCCAGAAGGTGATGAGAATGCACACAGTCGAACCTGTACGTGTAATGGTAAACAACAGCCGCTAGGCCAGAGTTCGGCAGTCAAATAACGGTTTCCTCCGTAATATTTCTCTTCAATCACACTTAAATATTTCGACTGACACCATGCAAAACCACACGTAATTAGTAAATGCAAAAGTCAGTGTTGACACTCGGATCAAAGCTTCCATGGTGATGTTGACAGGACAATTAATGATATGGACCTTGAAGCGGCACGACCATACAACACCGATTACAGGCATTGACAGGGGCCATTGCACCTCGTTAGCAGAAACCTCCCCCAAGTTTTAACAGACGCAATGTAGTTCCATATTGTCTGTACAAACTTTGATATATGGTCAGTACCAGGTAACGTCAAACGTCTTCTCATTTGCAAACTGTGATATGACGTTATTGGGAAACATGATAGTACGTGTCTAACGTATTGACGCGATTACATATTGATCGCTCATTACAGGTTTTCTGTGCTGGGAGTTCCAGTTAAGAACACAGATTGCTCTGTATGTGTTGGATTGGCATGACAACAGCCATGATTTATATATCATCATATCCTATACTACCCAGCCAATCACATGAACATCGGTTGTGCATGTATAATGTTCAACGTTCACTATTCTCATACTATTGCAAATGCAAGCCTCGTTTCTGTGCATACTCTTCCCTGTTATGTGAGCTTCCAGAAGCTACTTCAAAACGTCGGCCTATGCAATAAACTAAACGTTGTTATTCATAAAGTTCCATGCTTTGTTATTAAATAACATGTTTACATTCATGTCACGTGCTCGAGTGGCCACGTGGTCTGGGGTGCCGCTAGGTGCGCCAGAAGACTGTATGTTCGGATCTCAGACAGTTTCTAGGTTTAACGCCACTTTTACCAAAGTTGAATGTTTTCAAATACTGATTTGTTTCAGACTATTCTCCGACATGAAACTGAAAAAACAACGAACTGTAGAAAGTTGCCAGGGTGTACGCCGACCTACTCCTTGCCTGA